TCATTGCCTCACAAATGACATGTTTGTTTTACTAATGTCTCCAAAAACCGCAATGCAATCATGTAGCTAAGGAGTAGAAGATGAAAACACTTCACCTTTCAGCTACTATCAAACTGATAAATCATATATTGTCAGAGTCTCACCTTGAAAAGTCCACCTTGAACAAGTGCAAAGAAAAGTCCAGAAGTAACTGCATTTGCTGCTTGATTGGGGCCACCCATACCGCTTACAAGTGAAAACAGGGCTCCGGAACCAAAAGCAGCCACCATGCTGCAACAAAAATAGGGTTGTCACAAAATCAAAGAAACAAAGGCCACTTGTATTAGAAATAAATGAAATCTTAATACCGGCACACTGAATTAATAATATAAACGAAGAACAGACTGATAGATGATCCATTTCTAGATAAAGAAATACATTTTTTCACGGGAATGAAAAAAGAGTGGTGGGGTGGAAGAAACAAATCGACAGGATCTCCTGGGGACCTGCTGAAAATCTAGGCAGGTGGCACACCATTGGCTTATGGTCAGCCATGTAAGTTTTAGTTTTTCCAAAATGAACCAAAGGAACCAATCCATTAAAGTCTGTTCCTTACTCTTCAAATGACCTAAAACAGCCTAAAAGGCAGCAGGGCAACATCCGCATACGACAGGAGCTAAGATAAATTTTAAAAGAACGGTTACCCTAATATAATTTCACAATTCATATTCATAGAATTTTGGCTAAATCACAACACAGAATAAATATGGCCATATGAGACCGGGCATCCACAACAACTTCAATGTTGTTAACTACTGCCTATATTTCTTCATTAAAGCAATCATAAGCTCAATTGATTGTGACTGCAATTTTATAAACACCAAACAGTGTGGACAAAGGAATAGGCTTACCTGGACTGGACATCCTCCTTGCCTCTCACTCTTTTCATGACACAGGATATGCCGGCATTGACACCAGTCATAACAGCAAAGTTGCGAGCTTGGACCAATGGACCACCTGCAAGGGCCTATGATCAAAGCAAACAAATTGTGTATATCAACAGAACAGCTCCACCAAGTACGGGTGACTGTTCTGACTAATGCAAACATAAGCCATGTTTCAAAAGTTATCTGTTATCATTAAGAAGAAGCATGTTTCCCACCATAAAACATGTAATAGGTTTCCTTAAAGAATGTTTGGTGTTCATACAAATTTCAACTTCTACAAATTCTCAACAGAACTACCAAAATAATAGTAAATTAGAAACGCAAAAAAAACCCGAGAACTATAAGTTTCATAGAACAAAAACGTCAGTTGATTCTTAGTTGTGAACATCCTTCAGTGTCCTACCATTGCAACGTAAGCAAGGTAGGGTTTGAAGCGTTTTTCTCTAAAGTCTAGCATTTTCAAGGGTTATATGTGAAATGCTCAATAATTAAGCCCAATAAAGTGAAAAGGAATCAAATTTTACTCTGCTTAGCTCACTAATTGCATACCCTAATCCCATCTGAATACCACCCATTTGAAGAATACTAGGTTCCATGTTTACTCTTTGCCGCCCCAAAGTTTCTAAACAATGGCACCAACAGCAATCGCAGTAAGCAGACTCAAAGAATAACTCAAAAATATAGTCTATTATCTAAAAACATAAAAAGTGAGTTTTTAAAGTTTTTAAACTTAAACTTACTCCTTTCTTTTCTCTCCCTCCTCTCCTCTCACTCAAATCTATCTCTCCTTCTTTTCTTCTTTCTCTCTCCTTTTTTTGTTATACTTTTTTTTATCTCTCTTTCAATTCGTTATCTTCATTCTTTCGGTTCTTTCTCTCACTCTTCCTCTCTATCTTGTCCAATCCTCTCTCTTCTTTCTCATTCCTTTAATTATCTCTTACTTTCTTTCCTCCTCTCTTCTCTTTCTCCCTTTCCTACGACCCCTCTTTTTAAATATTTTTATCTAGTTTAAGTCATAAAATTTAAAAATTTTAAATCGCAAACCAATCAAATTTTTTAGTCTTACATAAAATTGTTTTAAAAAAATGTTCTTAAAAAATGTTTTAAGAAATGATAAAAATTTTCAAATACAATACCAAACAGCCTAATTTTCCTGTATTTAAATACTGAAAATTGCTACGAACAAGAAACAAAATATTGGGATTTATCATATACTCAAAATGCCAAATGGGGTGTGCTAAAGTTTCAGTCTTTCTCCAAATTCTCCGCGTAGTTCCCAATAGAAATCCAATCCAAACAAAGGGTATTTCGTAATTTAAACGAAAACATAGTGCAATTTTTCTCAGTGTGTGTATGTGTGAGAGAGAAAGAGAGAGAGAGAGACCTGAGCTTGGTTGAAAGAGGCCATGACTTGGGGGTTGAGGCCGGCCTGAGGAGGAGGAGTGGGAAGAGAGGAAGAAACATCGTTGGTGAGGGTACCCATAAAAGCGCCGATGGCGGCGCCCTGAGCGCCGCTGGTGAGTGTGACGACGGCGGCCTCGACGGGCAGAGACTGCTTGGCCAGCCACCCCTTGACGCCAGCCTGCAGCTCCTTGAAGCGAGCCTGAAATTCCTCAATAGGGTTCTGAGGAGGCACCATCTTCTCCACCATAGCTCCCTGTTTTCCTTGTTCCATGCGAGATTTCGACTTCCCCCAATTCGATTTCTGCTTCTTCTTCTTCTTCTTCTTCTGGTTCTGTAAATGCTATTGGAGCATACAGTCACTCTCTCCGTGGATAACGAGGTTTCTTTGTTTTTGTCTCTCTTATATACTTCCCTACTATATTCAACCTTCCCCTAAACTTGGGATGACAACGGTTCGGTTTGGAGAAATAAATGTTATATTTATCTTTATAACCATAAAAATTAATCATACCCATAACCGTAAAATAACCATTGGGGATTATCCATAACCATATCTAACGGATTTTTAATCGGTTATCGGTTATATCCATTTTCGTCAAAAAAAAAAAATTATATTCATCCAATTGACGCACTTTAAATTTTAGTAGATACTAATTTTGCCATTAAATAGTCACATTTAATTACAAAAAAACATAACAATATATATTTGAAGTTGTTCATGATAAGCCAATATGATAAATTGGTACAATAAAAAAGAAAAAGAGAACAAAAACAAATATGAAGGGAAGATAAAACATGTAAACTAAATATATGACAACAAACAAGAAGACAATTATTGATTTAATTTTGCATAATTCTATGGGCTCATAACATATGTAATAAACTGAAAAACTGACGCTAATTGATAATTTTCATGAATCAAATAACATGAAAAAGAATGAAAGATTACTTATTGAGCTTACAACATGCACCAATTTCTTGACAGTGAGACTTTTGAAGAGAGATGAATATGATAAACTTGGAACATTTGATAATTGATATATAAAATGATTCAATGAATTAATTTGGTTGAGTATAACAATAAGAGTATTGAATGGATGAGGTTGTTGGTATGATGCATGTATAATGAATTAGTATTATAGGGATATGAATAATTGAATACGTTGTGGGCATGATTCCAAGACTTCGAAAGGCATAATTGAATAAAATATAATATATATCAAATATATATATATATATATATAATATTCGGATCGGATTCGGGTACAGATATACATTGGGTACCCCTATAACCATATCCAAAACCATAACCGAATAAAGTTAACGGTTTTTCCCCATATCCAAACCATATCTGAATTTTCATATCCAAATCCAATCTATTCGGGCAATTATCCACGATTATCGGATTTAATGGTTCGAATTGCCATCCCTACCCTAAATCCTGCCCTGCCGTATATGCTATGGCTTTAAACCTACCCAAATTAAACCCTCCGAAAGATAACTTCCACTGCTAAAAACACTTGCGTAAACCCTCGTCAGTTGCGGTCGATTTTGCCTCATCAGCCACTCAAACTCATTTCTTATTAAATTTTTTATTTTAGCTTGAGTTTCCCTACGATCAAAAGGAAAATTAATGAAAAAATTTGAAAATTTTAAGTTTTAACTATAAGGATAAAATAAATGGTAAAATAAATAGTATCAAAATTAATTTTTTAGTATAAAAATATGATTTTTCGTTAAAATGAACAATATCGAAAAACTTTTGTTAAAATTTTCATGCTTGAATTGATTGTTCTTTGTTCATTTTGTAATTTGCACCTTATAACTTTTTAATTATTTAAAGGTGCGTAAGTTTCAGTTCGTCATAATTATATTTAGTTAACGGGCACTATACATGATGAAATTTACGAAAACAAAATTGACGGTTGAAGAGGTATAATGATAAGAGTTGAAGTTTTAGCGAGGGTCAAAAAGTAAATTTAGATTTCCTCTTGACCAAAAGGAAAAGAAGGGTTCAAGGCCCAAAGCAACACCGAATAAACGATAGATTTTTAGTATGTTTGGAAGTAGTACGCCACGTATTATCATTTTTACTAATTAATGAAATTATTTTTATCGATTAAAAGAGGGATGAAAAGATAATTTAATATTTTATCATACAGAAACATAATGGGTAATAATGTAATTCACAGATCTAAATTTTACTATTTTTTATTAAAACTTCACATACAGATAATGTTACAATTTCCCTAATATTTAAAATTAGAAAAAATAAAAAATAAAAAACCAAAAACAAAAAGCTCTCACTCCCCTGTTCTCTCTCTCCCCCCATCTCTCCTTCTCATTTTCTAAAAAAAAAAAAAATGTATTTATACACACAAAATGTGTAGGTAAATACAAATGTAATTGGTGAAAAGTTTTTGTTTAAGTGTCTATTCAATTGTATAATTATGTGTGATGTATCATTTTGTGTTTTGAATATACTAAAAACACTCTCAAATAAACTTGGATTCTGTGAGAAATTTTTCAATATGATTAAATCACAAATTAACCATTCACAAGATATTACGCTGCATGTTATTATATAATTATAAAAACCTTTTTTTAAAAAAAAAGAAAAACTTTTTCTAATTATATAATGACACATGACATAATGCCAATAATGCCAATGTTGAGGTCGCGCCACACTATTTCACTTTTCCTCGCGGGCGGCGGTGGTTAAATTACTTATTTTTGGCGCCAATCGCACTCCGGTGGCTAGCAGGCTAGCAGCCGTCCGACCCGCTCTTGCGCCGCTGCATCTCATCGTGGTACGTTCTCCCTTTCAATTCTAGGTACTTGTATTATTTGGTTTACAGTTAATTTAGTTCGTTATCAGATCCGCAATTCCTGTTACTGCTGATTTGTGGTTTTGGCATTTTCGCAAACACCTTGCGAGCGTGGCTGCTGCTGATTCTTTAGCTTCACACATATGCATACAGATTCTCTCCCTGCAATATTTCTACTGAATCAGCTCATCTTATATGTTAATTTTATATTACATTGTCTTTTTCCATGTATGATAATTAATTTGATGAAACGCTTTGAAAATTTTCATGCCAGAAGGTGGAGGAGGACGGGGAGGAATCAAAGTTTATTACTTTCGAGCAGCCGGGATGAGCACGTCGAGGGAGGAGTCGCCAGATTGGCTGCGCTCTTTCCAGGTACTCGAAAAGAATTTCACCAATCTTTTATAGAAGTTGAAACTTTCATGCTCTAATGGGTACATTTTGTTCATGTTGCTGGTTAAAGTTGCTTAGCAGTTTAGGTATTTGATTGGTTTTACATTTCTTTTTCTGTTTTGGTTTGCTTTGTTTTCAGGTACCCGAAACTCATTCACCAGTGGAATTATCCTCAGATTCCGAGGCTTCACTGAATGGAGTTCCTTCGGGGGAGGATAAATCAGAAACTCATTCACCAGTGGAATTATCCTCAGATTCCGAGGCTTCTCTGAATGGTGTTCCTTCGAGGGAGGATAAAACCGATTCCCCTGAATTGTCTCCATGTAAATCTTCTAAACTTGCCGATGAAGATCAGAATAAAGTTCTTGGGGAAAGTGTTGCAGAGTCTACATCTGGTAAGAAATTAAAACGAAACTCTCCAAAGCAAAGGAAAAAAGCAGAAGATCAGAAATCCCCTAAAAAGAAGAAACTAGAGATATCCAAGGAAGGAGAAGGTAAATGCGAAGGGTTTGGTTGAAACCTTCTGATCATGACGTTTGTAGACTTATAAAAGAGAATTTTTGGTTCAGGAAACAGTGATGATGCAGAAGTTGCAGAGGAAGAACCATCTGGGAAGCACATTGAGCCTCATGTAAGAGTTTACTATAGAAGTAGCAATGGTTCTCTATGTAATTTTTTATAATTAATGAGTTGCTTTGGTTATATGTAATTTGCAGGTCTCCACCTCAAGGTTGCCTTTGGTGCTCTCTGAAAAAGTCCAACGCTCGAAGGTACAACAAGATATTGTTCTTATCACTTGTTATAGGTTGTATATAGAGTCAGCAAGATAGTGTTCTTATCAAAAGTAGAAACTAACATTGACGAGATATTGTTCCATAGCTTGGTGTTTTACATCCCCCAATTACTTTCCATTGAAAAGAAATGGTTTGTATTTTGTATAGGCACTTGTTGAGTGTGAAGGAGAATCCATAGATTTGAGTGGTGATATGGGTGCTGTAGGACGGGTAATTATTTCAGATTCCAAATCTGCGGATCCTGAAATGTACCTTGATTTGAAAGGTATATCTTGTTTATATAGGTAAACAAATTGGTGGTTATTTAGCCTTGTCAGTGCAACTTATTGTGCGGCATGTTTCTTAATTAGATGCCTACATCTGATTAGTTTATCTTTTGTTTAACGCTACAGGAACCATATACAAAACAACAATAGTTCCTTCCAGGACATTTTGTGTTGTAAGTTATTGTCTCTACTTAGCCCCTTACAGAAATCAATAATCTTTCCTGTTAACGAAATCAGATGCACAATAATAATGATGTGATATGAAACATTTTCTTTTTTGTTCAGGTTAGCTTTGGTCAGTCGGAGGCAAAGGTTGGTTAGCCATTTAGTTAGGTAAGCAGGAAATGGATAACTTAATGAAAAGGGTATGATTTAACTCTGAATTGTATATTCCTTGAGCAGATTGAAGCTATCATGAATGACTTCATTCAGTTGAAACCACAATCAAATGTTGATGAAGCTGAAACAATGGTTGAAGGTTGGTTTTTGTTGCGGTGGCTATTTCTTTATTTTCATCTTCTCTTTAAAACAACCGAAACAGTAATCTCCTTAACATCTCATCGTTTTGAGTGAGTAGGAACCCTAGATGGTTTCTCGTTCAATTCAGAAGATGAGGGTGACAAACTTCCTAAAGCCACACCTCAACAAGCTGATCAAAACGAGGATGCTGAAGAACAAAATAAGGGGGTAACCAAGGCGAAGGCTAAGAAAGCATCGGTATGTGTAAGAACCTTAATTTTTCTAATTCTTTTGGGTAAATGCAATGAATATTTTGTTGATGTGAAGTTTTCTTTGTCTACAGACTGTTGTAAGGAAGAGAGCTAAACCTGCCGGAGGGAAGCCACAATCAGCAAAGAAACCAAGAAAGAAACCTCAAGTTTCCAAGAAGGCTAAGGGCAAGAAATGAGGCACACAATTTTGTTTATCATTTATTCTGCCGCAAATTGGGATATTAGTTCTCATAGTTGACAGGAGTGGATTGGTGATGTAGAATAGCTAGCGGATCAGGTTATCTAGCAGCTCGACGGGCATAATCACAAGAATAACAAGGTTTTGAGTTGTTTTTTGTGTCTGATTTAGGCGGAGAATACACCGTTTTGAAGGCAATGATATGTATCTTGTTACTGTCATTGTTTTAAGTTGGTTGATGGAGTATTTAGTGACCATTACTGTATAATGATGCCGATTGGTGGCCTATATTCATTTGAAATTTTTACATGTAGGATCCATTGTTCATGATTCGATACAAGTTTTGTATTGTATTTGTATTGTTTCTCTCTGTTTGTTGAAGCCCTCTGATCCCATGTACTTGATGAAGGAAGATTTGTGAAAAACATGTTCATTTAAGCAACATCAATAGCATGCAATTAACAATTAAAGGCGGAATCATGCTTGTATGCACTTAAAAACAAAACATTTACCCATGAAATTCAAAGCCTAGTAGATAGGTGAACCAAGACTCAACTCAAAACAAAGTGAGTTGAGAAATCAATACCTTTGTAGATTCCTCTTTGCATAAGCAAAGGCTAATCACCCAAAGAGAGGGCCTTCATTCCTTGCATCTTAGATCCATGGATTTGGATGGATGAAAAGGTTTCTCCAAGTTCCCAAAATTGAGAACCTCTAATGATTCATCACCAAGGCATAATGAAGAAGAAATGAGTGACCTTGGAGGAGTTTGATTGCTAGATGATCCTTCCAAGGTTGGCCGAAATTTTAGAGAGAAAGGAGAGCTTGTGTTCTCATCCTTTCCCCCAAAAATAACCCTTAGTAAATTTTAGGCTATAAAGTCCTTTATATAGTCCCTTCAAATAAGTGACCTAATGGACCAAAAGCCCTATTCTTTTACCATGGCCGGCCTATAGGGTTTATTGGGCTTTCAAGCCCTTTGTTTATTCAAGTTGTCATACAACTTGAGTTAATGGGCTTGACATTCAAATCCCATTGGGCCTTGCGGCCCAAAACTAACCCGAGGTCTTTAACGAACTTATTCGTTTGATTAATTAACATATTAATTAATCCTAGCCTTAGATAAATAATTAAACCATTTAATTATTCTTACTCATCTCCGTTGTTTCTTCAAACTCTACCTTACTCGGTGAACGATCCACTAGGTTCCTTTTAGCGAGGCAGTGGGCGATTAAAACTCTTTCTAATCGATTGTGAATTGAAACTTACTTTCAATTCTCCCGTTAGTGATAATACACTTTTAGGGCTTCCACAAACCATGGTTGACGCCTAGCAGCATGTCATGGTTACCCAAGCTAATCAGAAGAGGTGGAGAACCTATTCAGTTTTAGGATTACAAATGCAATACGGTCTTTCTCTAATACAATACTCTTGACCACATTGTTTGGTTTGATAGTTTATTCATGTCTATTATCCAATGTGAGTCTTGTGCTTATATGATTACCATGAATGTGATTTGGAACACATTCCTAAATCTCATTCATACTTTGGCCAAAGATTCTCAATCATATCATAGAGTATTCTCCCTCAAACAGTTTGAAGGTTAGAGATCCCTTGTTGCGCATTCACTTGCCTCCATGGCTAAGTGGCTTAACCCCAACGATGCCATGGACACCCTCCTGATGGAGTGACTTTGACATAATCAAAGATTAAGGACCTAACCACAAGACAACTGTGATGCCTCAGGTCAAAAGACTAATTTGCATTATCCCAACCATGAGTTCTCATGTGACATGAATATGAGAACTCCTCGTTGATCGTGTTCAGTGAACTCATTCTCTATTGAGCACCTACGTACTTGTCTTGATGTCACACACACCAATGACTCGAGACTAGTCACTCTCCCTGAGAGAAGACATAGCACGTACTGATCTTAACGGACTGTCAATGCCCAATTGACAATCTTATGATCAGGAACGTTTAGGATGTGTCAACGAAAGAATGGTCTCATGAATCTAACTTCTTTAGATCGCATTCTTCCAATCACATATTCCTTGGAATTATCGTTTAAGCATATAACATTTATATGAGACGGCTCAAACAATAATCTTTGCCCTTAACATTAAACTAGATTAGTTTAACATGTGAAATGTCCATAAAGTATCATCATATGATTGGTTTTAGGGCACATTTCCAACAATCTCCCACTTGCACTAGAGCCAATCAGCTTAATCATCAGTGATGATACCTCTTCTTTAGTCATTTCATAAATGGCTGAGTAGTAGGCCTAGACAATGGATATCTATATGTTATCCATAGAAGCAACCTTGAGAATAACGACGTCACCATTATACATGATTCTCAATCATGTGGTTCAGTCTCTCATTTGAGTTCGGACCTTGATGAGACCTTGATTCCCTGGCTTGAGCTATCGCCCCATTAGTGTCATACACTTTCTGGTTGGAACCGAATGGAGAGTTCATGAATGAACTTTCCCATCCAAACAACAATGTTGTAAGCTTCTATATGGCAATATATTTTGCATACATGATGGAACACATTAAAGTCATTTACTTTTAACGTTTCCACCCAAATATCTCTTTAGTCATAATAGAGAGATATCTCATTATCACTTCATTCATAATGAAGAAATATTCTATGATGGATTAGATTCATAATCTGATACATTTACACTTCCATAACGTTACTCTAATTCTTCCTCATTCTTGAGGAATCCATCCTTAGTATTTCTTAAATACCTAAGGATTCACTTGACAGTTGCCAAGGTTCTGATCCTGGGCTTGCACTGATATCATCTTGTACCGTTCTAGGTACAACTTATATCAATGTTTTCATACAATATGAAATACATAAATCACCTTTCTGCGTATGCATAAAGGATTCTATTTACGCATTATTTCTTTGGGAGTCAAAGGGTACATTCCCTTTGAGAAGAACAACTTCCTAGTCTCACTAGAATTGTCATTCTAATTGAAGTTTATCATCATATGAGAAACTTCCTAGCATCTCTTGTCTATTTTAGGGATTGATATAATCCAATTATATCTTGAAATCTATCATTATAGATTTCCATCCCATGTATATAGACTATGTCTCCCATATACATTCTATCATTATAGAATGTTTAAAGTCATAACTTTAACGATGAAGAATTCCTTTTATTTTCAAAATTAATATATATCATGTATATATATTCAAATTTAGGAATATGATCAACTCCCACTAATCTTTTGTAAACCTAGTAAACAAAAGATTCATTTACATCTTTATGAGAAATCAAACAATTGATCTTTTCTCATAAGACGCTTATAGCTCCTACTAGCTTGCTAAGATCCATGATGGATGAATCTCTACAACTAACCTGTCTTGTGATTTATAGTTTTAGACATATATTATCAAGACTATCTTAATAATGGTTTCGGAAACCCATATTATGTCCAAACATTAAATCACCATTTAGTTGTAGCTAGCAATCTTCGAATTAATTGAAACCAAGACTACGTCAAAGATGGTTTCTTCAAAGTCAACCATTCTCTTTGAGTGTAGTCACCTTAAGCTACCAATTAGCTGTGAAGGTTTCATTATTTCGGGTCAAATGGTACTTTACCATTTCATTGAGTATATATCGTATATACACTCAATGTAGTCATAAGGATTTTCATTCTTTATTTCTTTCGAATTAAGAGGTGCAACTCTATGACATAGTCATAAAGTTCAAACCATTCAACTGAGACGGTTTATAAATCCTTCTGGACTACCTTGGAGCTTGTGGTATAGGAACTAGGTTGTCTTAGAAGTATATATCATATATATATGGGTAATTGATAATGTCCAACGAACTAAATCTTATTCATGTTCGTTCTTCTCCTAATGGAGAAATACATTATCTTATGATGCTATTTTCCTTGATATCTTTCAAGGAAACTCATCTAAAGTGTTACTTTTCCTTGGATCAAATCTAAGGAGGTAAATTCTTTAGACGTCTTACTCATCAACTTACATTTCTTGAATTCTTTGAAACCTTTTGCAAAGTATTCGGACTTGTGTTTATTCAAAGTAAACTATAGTCCAACCGAGAGCGATCTTCGGTGAATGTCATACAACATGAGTAGTATTATGTTGTGGACAAGTGCCACTAACATCTAAGTGAATTAACCTCAACAACTTTGTGATTCTTTCTTCTTTCCAAAAGAATAAAGATTCGAACATTTCGCCTTTATACAATTTTAACAAGAAGGTATTGGATCCGGATCTAACGATCCATAGCATCCATCTATGACCAACTCGTAACTTATGTTTTAGAGGTATCACAACTCAGTTGGGATTAGTCACTACCTTGCAACCTTTTGGGTTTTAAGCATCATCGTATTCTAAACAGTTAAACTACCACATCATCTCTACTATAGAGACAACCAATTAAATTACAATAATCTAATTATTGATTAATAAAGAACAATGTTTTGTCAAACAAAACATTCATCCATCTCTACTATAGTGACGGATTTAAGTTCCTTAAATTTGGAATGTAAAGACAATCTTTAGTATTTTCCAATTTCTTTGGTAGTTCACATGAGGAAGTAAGTACAATCCGCTTTCGCAGAGATCTATATTCGATTCACGTTTGGAATGCGAAGTACTTTCTCTTCTCTCATTTATCTTCTACTTCTTATTAGCCACACTTTTACAACGATTGTAAAACATAGTTGCTAATACAGAATCATGTATTCAAGTAGAAGAACCAACTGTTTTGAATTGTTCAAGAACATTTTACAACACCTTCGAAATGTGTGTTCTTGACACTTGCAAGACATTTCTTGCAAATACCCCTTCCAATGTCCATCCTTTCATAAAGAAAGTTTGTTCCCTTGGAGTTATTTTGCCTTCTTCATTTGACTTCCCTTTTAATTACAATAGTCATGGTCCCTAAACTCCCACTATCTCTCTTGAAACTCATTTCAAATGTGTTATACACATCAAACGATTTGGAGAGCGTGCGGTTATTGTTCACTATATAGTTTACAATAAACTTAGTGAACCATTAGGATAGGGACACTAAGGTGAAGTCCTTGCCTAGTTTCCGTCTCGTTAAGCGGTTTAACACTTCAACACTCAATGATTCAAAATCATCATAAGTCCATATAAATGGACTATTTTTGTCAACCAACCATTATGTTCTAAACATAATAACAAACTTTCAAGAGTTGTTCAATGCAACTCTCATTTCTTCATACAACAATTTGTAAGTGAAGAATCATGGCACATAAAGTGTCCATGCCCTTGTGCTTACTTCTCAAGTTCCTTGTTTGTGTAACAAAGAGACAAGCACTAAAGTTTGTGTTGATTAAGGGTTGTTCAAAGCAACTCTTATTTCTTCATACAACAATTTGTATTTGAAGAATTATGACATTAAAAGTGTTGTCCTTCTCATGTTAGACTTATATAACATATTCTTCCAATGATACATTATCAATAGGAAGATTGTGAGGATGAGACTACTTAGTTACATCTACAAGCCATTAAAGACAATCTATTGGGATTGTAGAACTAAGTCCGGAAATTAAAGCATTCGGCTTTTCTTTGTCAAGTTTTGGATAGCGTTTGCAAATATATTGGTAAACAAATACATAACGAATATAAATTGATTGATTTTAAGCCATTTGATTCGGGTCTTTAAATCAAATAGCACCACCCACTATTTTTGGCAAATTCCATATCCCTCATCGGAATTCGAGAGTTTTGTTGAACTCTTAGCAGGGTATGGGAGACTCACCATTACCAAGCCCACCTCAGAATTATATCATGTTGGTTAGCAAAAATAATGATGAGAGAATAACACTTTAGTCATTTACAACTCTTGTAATTACCCATCTAGTTTGGCCTCTAGAGAATGAATGCCTCAGAATTATATCATGTTGGCACCATTGCACTTAGTTAAGTTATTCCCACCATGCTTAGTTTATGTAGAGGTTCAAGCACAACCTCAGAATTATATCATGTTGGTCATACTCGTTGTCTACACTCACCTCATCATATGTTTATGGACTCCTCCTGGATGTAAGCACATACTTTGTACTTCCCCATTATAGGGTGAAGCCGGTGCATGAGTCACAAACGATTGGAGCCCACCACGGTGGAAGGCCTACGAAGAGATATTCAAAGCATCTCTCGCTTATCAACTTAATATTGATTTGGTTGAGGGTTTTTAGGTCTCATCGCATATAAACATACATTTTAATCCAATTAAAACATTTTGGTCCTATTACAACTATTGGTCCATATGATTGATTTAGTAGTATATAATACTCCCACTATGCTTTTAAAACGGTTTTTAAAGCAAGACTATATGGTACTACTAACATAAGATTTGCATTCATTGATGGACTATATAGTTGCCTTAGGGCCTTAGGATGACTATGAACCTTTGATTCGATTCAACACGAGCCTAGTGTTGAATCTCGGTCTGGGATGGTGATTGATTTTAGTTACGCGTTTAATCACATTAAGGCGTGTTGTCTTATTGGGCGTTGGACCCAACTACTCCAATTTCATGCATATCGAATAAAACAAGAAAGGAGTACTTCAAAGTAAATAAGAGCTTATGCTCTTTTACAACAATTGATCAAATCAAATTACTTTAAAGTAAAGAAGAGCTTATGCTCTTTTACAACAATTGATCATATCAAATTACAACCAAAATTTAATCTACACATTCCCATGGTTCAAACAAATTTGAAACGGCCTTTCACATAGCTCAATTATCGTAGGCTAAGGTTCATAATCACCCTTTCTTTAATTAATTAACGCTTTAACTAATTAAACATGAATGCAACATTTTCATTTGGTTTTTGTATCCATAGAATTGATTTAAATGGAGCTAAATGAAATGAAAATCCAATTCTCATTTAAAGAGACAAAACAATTTTGTTCTCTACCTAATTTGGGCCAAAATGCTATGACCTCAACTTTTGGGCCATTTTGCAAAACTTAAACTTTTGGGATCACTTTGTAAAAACACAAAAGTCCACTACTTCATGTAATTACAATTAGAACCCAAAAATTTCCACAAAAGCTAAAACTTCATTAAAGGAGCAAAACAATTTGTCCTTTTAGTGATTTTGGACCTTTACGTAAAAACGTAAACTTTTGGGTCAAAGTACAAATACACAAAAGTATCAAAACTTTATGTAATTGCATGAAAGCCCCACAAAGACCCTAATTGAGTAGGGTGGCCGGCCATTGAACAAAGTATTAAAAAAAAATTTCAAAGTTTTTGTAAGTGGGATGTGTGAAATGGAATAAATCATTACACACCAACCCACTAAAATTTCTTTAATTTTTCAAAATAAATATCTAATATATTTAAACATAAGAAATATTTCAAAACAAAAAACTTTATGAAATAAATCAAAACTTTGAATCAAAACACCAAACCTTTTGTTCTTGGCAAGAACATATCAAGAACAATGAAGAACATTCATGAAAACCCATAAGAGCTCCATGAACATTCTTCATCCAAAAACATACCAAAACCACTCAAACTTAAGGGAAATAACATATAACCATACTAGGGTAGATAGGGGTTCCAAAAGTCACTTTAAAACACTTTTAATAAGTCAAACAAGAACCCAAAAATCCACCCTTTGGATTTGGCCGAATTTCCCCAAAAACATGGCACCAAATTTTAGCTCCAAAATTCATGCTCATATGAACTACATCTACAACATTTGAGATGGCAAATTTTCTAACAAAATTTACATTCAAAGAAGCAAGAATAAAGCTTGTAACAATTACAACATTCAAATCACAAACTATGAACTACAAAACCCAAAAGGATTCACCAACTACTAGACTTAGGCTCTTGATACCACTTGAAGGAAGATTTGTGAAAAACATGTTCATTTAAGCAACATCAATAGCATGCAATTAACAATTAAAGGCGGAATCATGCTTGTATGCACTTAAAAACAAAACATTTACCCATGAAATTCAAAGCCTAGTAGATAGGTGAACCAAGACTCAACTCAAAACAAAGTGAGTTGAGAAATCAATACCTTTGTAGATTCCTCTTTGCATAAGCAAAGGCTAATCACCCAAAGAGAGGGCCTTCATTCCTTGCATCTTAGATCCATGGATTTGGATGGATGAAAAGGTTTCTCCAAGTTCCCAAAATTGAGAACCTCTAATGATTCATCACCAAGGCATAATGAAGAAGAAATGAGTGACCTTGGAGGAGTTTGATTGCTAGATGATCCCTCCAAGGTTGGCCGAAATTTTAGAGAGAAAGGAGAGCTTGTGTTCTCATCCTTTCCCCCAAAAATAACCCTTAGTAAATTTTAGGCTATAAAGTCCTTTATATAGTCCCTTCAAATAAGTGACCTAATGGACCAAAAACCCTATTCTTTTACCATGGCCGGCCTATAGGGTTTATTGGGCTTTCAAGCCCTTTGTTTATTCAAGTTGTCATACAACTTGAGTTAATGGGCTTGACATTCAAATCCCATTGGGCCTTGCGGCCCAAAACTAACCCGAGGTCTTTAACGAACTTATTCGTTTGATTAATTAACATATTAATTAATCCTAGCCTTAGATAAATAATTAAACCATTTAATTATTCTTACTCATCTCCGTTGTTTCTTCAAACTCTACCTTACTCAGTGAACGATCCACTAGGTTCCTTTTAGCGAGGCAGTGGGCGATTAAAACTCTTTCTAATCGATTGTGAATTGAAACTTACTTTCAATTCTCCCGTTAGTGATAATACACTTTTAGGGCTTCCACAAACCATGGTTGACGCCTAGCAGCATGTCATGGTTACCCAAGCTAATCAGAAGAGGTGGAGAACCTATTCAGTTTTAGGATTACAAATGCAATACGGTCTTTCTCTAATACAATACTCTTGACCACATTGTTTGGTTTGATAGTTTATTCATGTCTACTATCCAATGTGAGTCTTGTGCTTATATGATTACTATGAATGTGATTTGGAACACATTCCTAAATCTCATTCATACTTTGGCCAAAGATTCTCAATCATATCATAGAGTATTCTCCCTCAAACAGTTTGAAGGTTAGAGATCCCTTGTTGCGCATTCACTTGCCTCCATGGCTAAGTGGCTTAACCCCAACGATGCCATGGACACCCTCCTGATGGAGTGACTTTGACATAATCAAAGATTAAGGACCTAACCACAAGACAACTGTGATGCCTCAGGTCAAAAGACTAATTTGCATTATCCCAACCATGAGTTCTCATGTGACATGAATATGAGAACTCCTCGTTGATCGTGTTCAGTGAACTCATTCTCTATTGAGCACCTACGTACTTGTCTTGATGTCACACACACCAATGACTCGAGACTAGTCACTCTCCCTGAGAGAAGACATAGCACGTACTGATCTTAACGGACTGTCAATGCCCAATTGACAATCTTATGATCAGGAACGTTTAGGATGTGTCAACGAAAGAATGGTCTCATGAATCTAACTTCTTTAGATCGCATTCTTCCAATCACATATTCCTTGGACTTATCGTTTAAGCATATAACATTTATATGAGACGGCTCAAACAATAATCTTTGCCCTTAACATTAAACTAGATTAGTTTAACATGTGAAATGTCCATAAAGTATCATCATATGATTGGTTTTAGGACACATTTCCAACACTTGATTCATCACACCAGGCTTCACAGTTGCTTTCAAACGATCAAGATAATATGTAGACGATGAGAAGAAGGATTAGCGGCGGAACTGGTAACAGCGTGTTAGAAGAAGAATAAACCATCTGCACAACCTTCTCGCTGCCAGGCACTTGATATCTCGGAGGAGCTAACGCATAATTTGAATTTCTCGTCCTGCATCACGAATGTTTTACCGTATGAAATCCGAGAGTTGAAAAGAAAATAAGCAGTTGTTGAAAATATTCGAATGATGATATGATGGGGAGAAAAAAATGTACCCGTTTCCGTAGGGGCAGAAGAAAATGGCGTAATCAAAAGCCTTGCATGTAAAAGTGCTTGTGCCATCATCAAAAGCATAACTGTAAGCTCTTGGACAAGCTTTTTTGAATATGGTAGAATACTTGGAAGGCTGGCATGTCGTCGGGTTAGCAAACTGTCCTCTGCAGCAGTACTGGTCCAAACCAAATGCCTCGCAGGCGCTCTTGCATCCGATCACGGTCCCTTCGCTTCCTCCTCCCACCACCTGAAGCTCTTTCGGGCAACCTGCACGCGTGTTTCATTGCCGCTCGGCCTTCAAAATTTGAACCATTTGGCGCCCGAAAAATTACAAAAACTTGATCAAGACCATAATTTACCTGTGTTGATATCTGAAGCGCAGCCGGTGGCATTACATGGACCAAACACGCCACGTGGTGCGGCAATGAGGGGCAGATTGTAGCCGTCTACAATGCTGACATCGTAGAAATCTGAACCATTGCCATTGCCGAGAGTTATTTCAAAAAGAGAGGCAGGTGGAGTGGCACCACTGCCACCACATTCCAGCCTGCCTCCACAGTCGCCGGTTTGACACGTGCCAGCTCCCTGCTCGTCGAATGTGCAGCCTGTCCTAGCCCATATACGCCCTGACCATCCTGGAGTAGAAGGAAGTCTCACACTCTGGCCGGGGTCCAACCGAAACCCCGTTGTTGGGAGCGGAGGGGTGCCGGAACCTGCCAACGTACCGGGCCAGATGGTTTCCGGGCAGTTGTTTGTTATAGTAAATGTGGCTGAGTGGGATAAAGAGATGAAAAATGGAAAGAGGATGCAAAAGAAGCGCAGAAAAGTTCGAGGTCTCGTCGATAATGGCATGTTCTAGGCTTATAGGTTTTGGTTTGGTGTTTCGCTTTTCTGGTGGAATGGGATATATGGAAGGATTGGAAGAATCTGTGAGGGAAGGAAACGTGCAATCTAAGCCGCAAGATGACCATTATGGGTTTAGGATTTCTTTTATCTTGGATGGCCTCTTGAAGAAGCGATTCCTTTTCTACCAAAAAGAAACTTGGACTAATGAATCTCCAAACCATATAATCTTCCTCGAGGAAAATAAACGATATTCTTTCGAAGATGACTTTGAGAACAAGCAACATCTGTTTCAAAACTTGGATTGAATTCGATCTCTCTACATGTACGCAGGCTGTGTCTGATCTATACGCTCGAGCCAAAGTGATTGGGGAAAGAGAGGGAAGAACGCGGAAAAGTCTACTTCCAGTCATCCACATAACATAATCGGAGGAATAAACGCTGCTATTATTACATACAGTCTACAGAAACATCAATTGATAGCCTTTAGTACATTCATAATGTGGAATTCGCAGAATCAAAGTAAAGAACAAGAATGAAGAAGCCGGAAACACTGACCACAAAAATGAACATGAACATGAAATTATTTGCTCATAAATGTGTCGTTAGAAATTTACAATGTTTTTACAAACTGACGATGCCAAATTAATCAAAACATCTTGGCATCACTAGAAAATTTACAAGCAACGAGAGGACTTTCCACCGTTAGAAGAGATAAAGGACTTCGAAGTTAAAAGTAGCCTAAAAGATAACAAGTAGCCTAGAAATGGTTCGGCGAAAGGCCAACTAAAGGTTGGAGGCAACTCTTCAATGCACTTTCAACCTTATAAGCACAGCTACTTTCAGACATGGCAGCCTAAAGGGATTGGCCTTTCATGGAAAATATTGACGAACCAAATAGGCTATAGGCAGGACAACTCAAACACAATTTATGTCGAACCACCAGCACAGGATAATATGGAAATAATGTGACTCAAACGTACACATGCCTTGATGGCTGAGCAGAAAGTGCTGTGTTGCACTTCGCCAAATAGAAGAGGTTGATCAATTACCATATTGTGGAAGTTTTATCATATTTCTGCACGTAGCTTACCTGTGCAAGTTCTCCAGCATCACCAGGTGTAGCTTTCTTCTCCAAGAAATTATACAATTACCTACACAAGAAAACAAAACAAAAATTCATAAGAAGCTATATCAGAAAATTTCTAAATAAGAACGACATTATTCATTATTAACAAGCATATCTAATATCTCCTCGATAGCACATGCTTCAACTCCTGCAAAATTGACATCAATTTCAGATACATTCAATCAAATAACCCAAGCAAAAAACAATGCCGATGATGCAAATATATATAAAACAAGTGAAATCCGGATCATTCCTTCATAACCTGTACTAAACAAGGCCAAAGTAACACAACAACAATACTGCCTGCAATCGTAGTGAACAAGAACCAATAATATTACAGATCCAAATAAAGAAGCAACTAAGCGAACCATTTTAATAAATAAATACAAATAATTGCCTTTTGGCAAGATAAACATCATAAATGACAACAAATAAGAAGATACTAGTAATAAGGTAAAATAATTAATGGGAGTAACATAAAAGAAGTCACAGCTAAATCATGACACAAGTCGTACAAACGACCTGAGAGCACCCTGTAGCAAATATAGCCAAAATTCCTGACCAGTAGGGCTAGCATGAATAAGAATTGAATCCAAGATTCTTAAGCAGTTAAACAAGCCCCGATCACCCCCTAAATAACATTCTTTTAAAGTCAAGCTAATGGAGGAGTTAAATTGCAGTAAACAGGACTACAAATATAGATTGTTCCTACAGACGGGTAGGACACATTAGGTCCACCACTTTAAGTACTCATCAAGTTCATCGTCCACATCCGTTCCACAAAATGCAAATAGGGAAAAGTTTAAAGGAACAAGATTAAGATAAGCAATAAAAGGTCGTTCATTTATCTTATAAGCCTAGCTCATATCCATGCCATCTCCAACTTTGCTGCAGATCAGACTGGCAGTAGTGAAGGATCTCTCGAAGGGAGAAGGATGGAACTGGGCATCCCGTCTGCGCTTAGAAGAGCAACTGTCTGCAGAAGAGCTATCCGACTCAAGCTTCCTACGGACCCCTCTCACAGCCTGTTCCTCTACCTGTGTAAGGGGGAAAATCTTTCCGCTTGCCCGGCAAAGGGAGCTATGGTTATCATACAGGATCCTCTGATCACAGTTTTTGTCGCAGATGTGAGTGGCTCCAGTTAGCTTGCAGAGGTACATATTCGCGCAGACGTGCTCGTTCTGACATTTCCAGTCACATTTGTGAACAGGATTTGACACATCACGGCCCAAAATAGTCGACAGATAAACAACATTCGTAGGTCCTGCTACCACAGAATTGCCAGCCACCTCCATTGCAACTGCCAATTAATGAGTTTTCGAAACGTCAATTGAACAGATTCCACCAGCAAAGGAGGCCTTTTTACAACAACAAAAACAACAACCAAGCCCTAGCGGTGCGGGATCGGCTGTATGAACCCTACAACGCCACTACGCTCGGTTTTACGCAAAGTCTAAATTTTTTTTTTTACAGATCCGAACACAATGTAGAAAATCGTTCCCCACACTTCATATGGAATTGTTTAATTACTAATCACAGAAACACTAATCATGTTCCATATGAAGCCAACAATTCACTTTCTTCATCAGATCTGATGCATGTATCAACGTGGGATACAAAATTACACAATTTTAATTACTGCCCTTAAAATTTACAGAAAATTTATTTGCTTTTTGTTTTACCTGATTAATTAATCATAATACATAATTATATAAAAAAATTCCAGAAAAAAATAGAAAAGAAAGAAGAAAATGACTCACCTGTGCTTCCTAGTTAAAAACGAAAAACACGCGCGCTGTGCTTCAACGCTAACCCAGCAACACCACCACCTACTCCTCACCTTCTCTCTCACCTCTCTCTCTCTCTCAAAGACTCGGACTGTCTCTCTCGCTATCCAAATTGCCTAGCAAGCTAACATAGAAAACGCAAGCGTAGGGGTCGGTATTTATAGAAAAATGGGAGAGAGGGAGAGAGGGAGAGAGGGAGGGAGGAGAGAGAAGGTGGGGGTGGAGGAGTTGACGTTGGAGTTACTGTGAGAGAAAGGAGAGGGCAAAAATGCAAGAAGCCCAACCCAACGTGCCCAAACTGATAAAAAGGAGAAGAGATCCCCTCTGAGTTTCTTCTATTAAGACTATCAAATCAAGTGATCTAGAGCTTTTCAATTTTATTTAATAGTTAAAAATTATTATAATTTTTGAAAAGTTAATATAAGTGGATCGTAAATGAAATTTCAAATATCCGGATCATTTAATCCGGTGGGCTTCTCATGATAAAGCACCAAATTTCCAAATGAAATACGAGTGAAATTCCGAGTAAATTCACTTTGTGCCCCTTTTTTTATATATATTTAAAATACGACCCAATTCCCTAGTGGACTTGACTTTTCAAAGGGTTTACCTACAAAAGTGGATAATCCAAGAATATTATATATTTTCTTTCAACAATACTAGATCCACCTTGTATTGTTGCATAATCAATGATACTGCAACACGTCTTCATACAGTATTTATTGATTATCGTAAATTGACTTTTTTTGCATTAAGGGTCTCAGTGAAGGTGTCTAAACTTAATTACGCATTATTATATCACTAATTCATATTATTTAAAAGTATCGTCACAATAGCATCTTCGTAAGTTTCTTTAAATGTTTTGTTTACATACAAAGGTGTTAGAGTGGAGTTTCATGTTAAGCAACAACATGGGTAGCAAAATTAGTTATAACGATCGTTTTATGACAATTGAATTTGAAAGTTCAACTATTATTAGATTGTAGTGCTAATGATAATATTGAAAAGACGTTAAAACGGACACGTGCTATTTTATTATTGGTGTATGCAATGAGGCAAGAATACGAGATCCTGATCACTCTCGACCTAAGTATTTGATATTTTAAAAATACTTTTATAAATATCATCTCAAACTAAAGTATTTTAAAATGTGAACCTCGAGTCGGACTGAGTGTGACTCGAAATATCGTGTGTTCCCAGTCCCCGCCTCCAACGGTCTCTCTCTTTTCTCCTCAACGATTCAAGAGCTCTTTCTCACTTGAAAAAATTTTCATTGTGACGGGAACACAAGTGTACCCCACTTGTTTTAATAGAAGTGGTGAGAAATTTTATTTTTTAAGTTATTAACTTTTTAGCACACATATTCTATTATTTGTATAATGACACGCGGTTTACCATCTCGTCTACCGATCATATTGAAAAATCTCTCCCCTCTCTTTCTCTTCCTATGACTTTTACACGAACCAACACTCGCCACGTCGCTTTCTCACCGTCATCCTCGCTGGGCTGTTCCGAACTCCCACAGGCCCAAATTCACAATTCGGGATCTCGAGCCCTCGACCCTTTTGGGTTTAGGCTGTGGATCTTGACCCGAGAACCATTTTTCAACCCGACTAGCTCCGTTGCTCTTCGTTCCGAGGGTTACGGTCTCGGAATCGCCACCCTTGCTCCTCCCTGCGCTCAGATATCAGTTTCAGACTCGATTTTTTAGTTCTCGAGGAACAGACGACACACAAAGCTCCTTTCTTTTTCAATAAATTATCCACCCAATCCAAAAACCCACCACAAATTCAACCCCCACAACCCTAATCCCCATTCACAATTCTCCTTACGTGACAAGATCCAATCACTCCAAGTTTTGATCTGGATTGCGATCTCTGTTCCGAGGGGCTGCAACTTTCTCGGGAAACAAACGGGTTTTCTGGATTAGATTGGGGGCTTCGGGTTTTCTGGTATGTGTATATTACTTCTCTACCTTTTGTCGTTTTTTTTTTCTGTTTTAGTTGGGTGTTTTAACTCTGTTTGGTTGCCTAGAAAATGTAGGAAACTGCGGGAAAATGGAGGGGATTGGAGTATGGGATGTTGGGGGTTTTGAGTAACTTGGGATCTGAGAAAAAAAAAAAGCTGAATTCTTGGGTTGTGAGTTTTTCAGTTTTGAGATTGGGAGCTTAAAACAACAGAAAGATGTAAGCTTTAGGATTCAATAGATTTGATTCTGTATGCTTGGGCTCTGTTCGATTACTTCAAAGTTTTCAGGTTATTCTGTATTGGAAGTGTATCATGACAAAAGTCCTGTGGTCTTGAGATGCTGTTTGAAAACTTACTATATGTGTGCTCGTTTTCCTTCCGTAGAAGTTCAGGAATGGTAGAGAATATGTGCTTGTTTTCCTTCCGCATAAGTTCGGGATTGATAGAGTTATGAAAGGCCTTAATATTACCGATGAAATCTTAATAAATCCTTGAAAGAACTCTATACAGATCCATAGAAATCTATAAGAGAAATCCGTATAAATCTGCCAAAAGCCATATAAAATTGTAGAGTCCATTAAAATCCTTTGATATCCGTCACTTACAAAATGTCCATTAAAATATTCTGAAATCCAAATTGACGACACCCCCTTACTTGTTTGTTGAATTGAGATTTCAAAATACAGTTTTAAGCTAGCTGCTGAGCTTTTCATGTGATATTTTTGTCTAACATTCTTATTAGATTTGATATGTCCCATTTTTTGTTGTAAGCAGGTAAAGGATCATGGTGGGATTTAAGAATAGGTATATGGTAGTGGAGGTTATCTTGGATCCTAATAGAGAACTGGTGAGAAAAGATCCTGTTATCATTACCTCGTACAATGTTACGAAAGCTATCCGAGACAGCATCCTAGTAAATTTTGGGGAGTGCGGTCTGGCTTCGTCACTTGGATCATTCCAAGGTAAGTAATGGCTCCCAGTAATTCTTGTTACCTTCTTTATTTATGCGCCTTTGCAATTAATTTTCTGTAAAATGGACTCTCTCAATTTCTCCGAATGTGTAATTTTATGCAGTCAAGTATGTGAATGACATTACGAGGCTGTGTATCATTAGAGCTTCAAGGGATGAATATCAGAGAGTATGGGCTGCAACTACCATGGTCAGGAGTATTGCAGATTGCCCGGTTCTATTTAATTTGTTGGACCTAAGTGGTGAGTTAAAGATTTGCAGCAGATTAAGTCTTGCGGCTTGCTGATATTTTTCGAAAATGCACAATACCTTACAATTAAGTTATCATTTTGACTCTTGAATTTTGTTATTGTTCTTGATTAAGAAATTAGAGTGCTTCCGCTTTAGTGGTGATTGGTAATCACAATTTCCTTAAAAGTAAGCAGAATTTCTTATAGTAAACATTGTTTGGAACTTCTTAAGGGGTCACATTTTATCTTGTAGTGTTCATTTTTTAAGCTGATCGGAAGTTACTGTCATCTCAAAGACACAACATAATTGTCTTCTTTCCCATCTGTTAAAAGAAAGTTAATTACCAATGATTTCTTTCATTTCTTTTGTATCAGGAAGTATCAAAGCTTGTAAAGAAACCGCATTGAAGTGTGATGAATCAAAATTTGAACAGCACAAGCTTGTTGTTGGATCTAATCTTTCGGCTCAAGATACTCAAAAAATGCAGTACTATCTTGACAAGATCAAAGGCCTCGAGCACTAAAGTTCTACCGCACCTATGGTAATATACTGTATTCAGATGGCATTTTATGTTGCTTTTCCTTATCTATGAGCTATTACAGCTGTCATGTATTGGTTGTTTAATGGAGTATTGCTATCATTAGATAACAACGTACTTCTCGTGCTATAGACCACAATCAACAGTCGCCGAAACTCTTTAAAATGATGGAGTTGAACTATAGCTCTCAGTTTGGCCTAAAGTAGGCATAAAGTAGATATTCATGCCTAATTTATTATCTAACGAACAAACTCATTCTTGTCCAACATCTTGTAGGAATTTGGTGAGCCTCACAAGCTTCATGTCCTGGTTCCATCGGTACTTGATGTCCATTACTCTGCTGACTCCGTGGCTCCTGTGGAATTCTAAAGGTTAGAAAATCTCAAAAGAAAGGAAGCTTTCAGGAACCTCAAATTTTCTAACTGCAAGTAGTTGTGAAAAGGGTATGTAGATGTAAAACCAAGTGGTGGATTAGGCAGAGGAAGTATTTGATTTGGCTATCTAGTTATTTCGGAAATATGTTTTGTCATGTTAGTTTGTATTGTTTACTAGTGAAGGGGGGAAGTTCGTGTATCGCACATACACGGTTTTTGTTTTGGTCAAACGCACGTACTCCCTGCGGCGTATAAGATACATTGGAGGCTGGGAGCTACCAGAATTTTCACAGTTTTGATGACTAGCAAGGAAAAAATTCCGTTGTGTCCAAAAATTCTCTTTCTTATACATCAAGTAATTACTGTTTCATGTTTAAGGTATCTCTGTGCAAATTCCATTTTGATACCTTAGGGCATTCTTTTCCAAGCATCAACGATGTCATCGGGACCCCGCCACAAAAGATAGTTAAATGGTATCACATCAGCCATATGATTTGCCACATTTAACTGCGTGTTTTAGTGGTAAATGACACAAAGTTAGGTCCTAATTGGGCGCAGATTCTAGCATACAACCGAAGATATGTTGTTAGGTGACGAGAGACGAGGGGTTTTATCTCCAGGTTTACCCACACTTGGCCAGTTGTTCCTGCCCAAATCTTGAGATTTTCGAGTGCTTTTGTGTATGGCATTTTTGGGTATGCTCCGAGTATGCTGTACACTGAGATTTTTGGCCGTGGTATCGTTGATTAATGATCCAATGATCAAGATCTTAACGCTTATAAATTCCGGTATATAAGATACTAGGGGGGCGTTTGTTTGCCCTCACTAAACTTCCTTGGATTGGACTGGCTTAGCTGGGATTGCTAGCCAGTGTTTGATGTGAACAAGGATTACCATTAATGAGACTAGGTCGGACTCGCACCGACTAAGTCCTTCATTAGGTAGTCTTAGTGAGGACCCCCAATATGTATGGGATTGCTAGTCCCGTCCTCAAACCTATTCTGTTTGCCCGCTGCATCGTCTGCAAAACCCTTTAATCACCGCTTAGATCTGAAATAAAGCTCCACCTACCGGCCAAACCTCAAAATCGAACCACAAAAAAAAAAAAAGGCGAAAAAATAACAACAAAATCCAACCAGAAATTCAAAATCCACCCATTGCCAGAAAATTATGAGATGACTTTGTAGGCGGAGAAGCCAATGCATGTATTTGAGGAAAGAGAGAGATCTGATTTTTTTTGGGAAAAAAAGGATGAGGAAGGCGGAAATGCTTAATAGCAGCAAGAGAGTGAAGATGATGAGCTTGTTTTGAAGGATTTGCAGTGACCTTTACACCTGCGTTTTGCAGGAAAAATATGGAGGAAAGAAGAAATGGGGCGGTGCCAGAGGGAGAAGAAAAGAAAAGATGGTTCTGGAGGGTAGTCTTTTTGGAGTAAAGTAAAAGGGGAATAAATATGCATTAAAAAACATAAAATATTATTATATAAATATTAAATAATATAATATATTACTATATATGCATTAATTAATATAATATTATAGTTTATTAATTATCCTGTTTTTTAGTCCGACACTGCACCAAATGCTTCACTAAGTTAGTCCAACTTAGTCTAGTCTAAGTCAATCCAGCTTAGTCCCTGAAGCTAATCCAGTCCGAGATAGTCCGGTGCAACAAACGCACCCTAGGAGTATAGAGGAATTTTACCAATAGGCTCGAACTCAAAGTGGGCTAGTCCTGATTGACAGCTGCTCTGCAAAGACGATTAAAAAATAGAGCAGTAAATTCTCATTATTTTCACTGGGGCAGGTTTTTGGAGCTGGAAAATGATCTGTTCCTAACTTATAGATACCACATGTTCAAAGAATTCATCATTCGTGAATGTTTGTGCGAAGGAAGAGAATCTTGGGTCAAGGCATGATGATGTCGCATGTTCGACTATCTAATATCATTAAGCATATCGATGTCTTGTAGATTATTGACATTTTATTTATATTATCAACTATGTCGATGTTTTAATAAGGGTTCATTTAGAAAGTGCTTTTAAAATAACTGAAAGCATTTTTGGTGAAAATATTTTTAAAATCATTCATTAGTAAAAATCCACGTGGTCCATGAAAAAACATTTGAAGTGTTTCATGCAGGAAGCACATTTATGGTATTTCTTTCAAAAAGCACTTGAAGCACTTGAACTTCAAGTGCTTTTAGAACCCAAAATTAATTTTATCAAAACTGTTTTTAATCATTTTAAAATTACTTTCAAACGAGTTTTTACATAGTTGTACATCTATCGACATGTTTGGCAATAGAAATCCAGGTGAAAAGTATATAACATGTGACATTTTATTAAGTGGGAGAAAACGCGCAATCAGACTTTCAAAATGAGATCTTCTCAGAAGAGAGGATAATACGCAATACTATTAGATATTGCCTTTTAATAATGACGCCAACAGTGCTGTTTCCCATTAATTCATTGAAGTTATTAGGTAGGATCCTTAGGTTAGGAGGCTGAACATTCTAAGCAAATCACACAGTCTGTTGGATCAAAATCCAACTTTGATCCAAATATTACAATTATTATAACTTTAGAAGAGTTCTCTGTTTGTAATCCAACATCTCGTGTGATTTGCTCAAAAAACTCAGCCTCCTAGGAGAGGATCCTGATCCGGGTAATTGAATCAACGTGGGTGGCAAAAAGCTGGAAGGCAATTTGTTTTGCACTTGCTTAAGCAAGGGTGATAAAAAATTAAAATCAAAGACTAATTGGAAAATAGCACTCATTTTTTCACTCATGTTTGGTGAGCTTAGTAGTGGGGTTGTTAGAAATCCTCGAACTTGATAAATTTGCACTTGATTGTGTTTCATAGTGAATTTTTTTTTCACGTGTTATATTAGGAATTAAGAATACGCAACATGATTGATATGTCTCGTTACTTTTAAAGAATATTAATAATAAAAAAAATGTGCTAATTTAGATGGAATCGCAATATCGTGCGACACTGCTCCTATTTTCACGTCTAAATCACATTTTAAGCCTCATTTTATGTCATGTGTAACACCTCCTATATGATATAAGGATATTCTATGTTGAGTCGAAGAACACCATGCATTGATGGGTGGTGGGAGTCCATATTGAATATCATGAGATCTTTTCTTGTCGCTGGTATATTCATAGGTTTTTCCTCGATTCATTCTTTCATGAATTGCTGAAAAAGAAAAGAAGTTCATTAAAATTCCTATGTTGGGATTACGTACTAAATGTATAAGTCAAAAGAATGGATGAAGCTGTCCACACTCATTTCAACCTCTCACACACAACTTTCAATTTTCGACCGTCGAATCGAGCAAATTGAAGATCGGTGAATAAAAGTTAACAAGAGTGTGTAAGAAGTAAAAAAAATAAATGAATAGCACTACCGAAAAGAAATAACGCTAAATTATAATACTAATGATAAAGTGCCGGAGCTTTAAGGTGATATCTTGAATTGAGAAACCGATATCACGGTCACGTGTACGCCAAACGTACATGCAAAGGGCTTCTCCTTGGCATGGACTTCTCCTACGCAAGAACTTTCGCCCGTTCGAGATCCACATGTTTGCTATAAAAACCCGCCTCGTTTTTCTCCTTTTCATACCAAAAAACCAGAGAGTCCACTCCACTCACACAAACACAGCTCAACACAACAGAAACCCACACCCGTGTTACACTTGGACTCTCGCTCTCTCCTCCCCCTCTTTCTCTCTCCTCCCTTGAACAATTTCAGAAGCAAAAGATCTCAGAAGAAGAAGAAGAAATGCAGCAAAGAGTTTTGGATTACGTTTTGGTGCCGGCAGGGCTGCTGGTAATGGTGGCATACCACCTATGGCTTCTCTATCGAATCCTGAAGCAGCCCAACAGCACCGTCATCGGAATCAATTCCATCAACCGCCGCTTCTGGGTTCACGCAATGATGGAGGTAAAACCAAAACCCAACAAAACCCATCAATCAAAATCATATCTTTCAATTTTTTTTTTATCTTATTAATTGGTTCCTATTCATATTATCTTGCACGAGTGAATTTTTATGTTGTTGGAAAATGTTGTCTTCTTGTGCACCAGTAACCTTGAAAATGTTGAAAGAAAGGTTTTTAACCAGTTGGTTCAAGTTCGATTTTTTTCCTGTAAATTAGAATGGTTTAGAGTATCGTCTTAATTGATTCCTATTCATATAATCATGTATAACATGACAACATACATTTTTGACAATGAAAGTGATTTTCATACAAGTTTTTTCTCTTCATGCATACCCCGTATTTAGTTTTTGAATTTTGAAGTGAATACGTTAAAAGAAAATTAATGGATAAAAACAGTGCATATACGATTGAAAAATGATGTTCTCTAATGACCAATTTGCATTTGGGCATGCACGAAATGCAGGAAGCTCCAAAGCATGGTGTTCTTGCGGTGCAAACATTGAGAAACAACATAATGGCGTCGACCCTTTTGGCCTCGACCGCCATTACGCTCTGCTCTCTCATTGCCCTCTTGATGACCAGCGGCACCAAATACAGAGCAGCTTTATTTGTCTTTGGGGACCGAAGCGAGCTAGCATTTTCGATCAAGTTCTTCGCCATTTTGGTGTGTTTCCTGGTGGCTTTCCTCTTCAATGTGCAGTCCATAAGGTACTACAGCCACGCCAGCATTCTCATCAACGTACCGTGCAAGAAGATGTCGCCGCACCATCAGCACCACTACCTCACTACAGACTACGTTGCCACCACCGTGAACCGAGGCAGCTATTTCTGGTCCTTGGGACTCCGGGCGTTCTACTTCTCGTTCCCTTTGTTTCTATGGATTTTCGGGCCGATTCCGATGTTCATGTCCTGCTTTGTTTTGGTCATCATGCTCTACTTCCTAGATGTCACGTTTCAGTTTGGTTGGGAGGTTGGGGTTGCTGACAACGATGATCACATCCTCATTAAGGACGATGAGGAACAAAGGTTGCCAAACTAGCTAGCATGACATTTCAAGTCAATCAGGCATTGTCACGTTAGAAAGTTGGCGGAATATGTTTAGCGGAGCATAGAAACTAGCTAGCTAGCAAGGTACAAGTACTAAACCAAAAAGCGGTTCAGATTCAATACAAGTTGAACTGAACTGCAGCACAATAAGTTGATGGATGTAACAACACAACGAATAAAAGTAGAGTATTATGGAATGCTCAGCTGGTCTGTATTTTCATGCCACTTGTAAATTATAATGTTCATTTTACTGGATTTGCACGTAATGTATGCGTATGAAGGGAATGAATTTACCTCATTCTTTTAGACCTCGTTTGAAAGTGCTTTTAAAATAGATGAAAATGTTTTCAGAACCAATCCTTAAAGTATTTTTCTAGGATTCACTTTCATTTTACTAAGGATTGGTTCTAAAAAGGCTTTTGATGAAAATGTTTTCAGAATCAATCCTTAGTAAAATGCAAGTGAATCTTGAAAAAGCATTTCAAGTGTTTTTGGAACCCTAAAACATTTACTCCAAATGCTCTTTCAGTCAATTTAAAAGCACTTCCAAAAGAATTCTTACTACGAAATTGGCTCAATGTTGTGCAAAGATTCTTTATGCAGTAAGATGCGATGGTTTCGTTTAAAAACATTTAAGCATTGTTCCATACGAATCAATATAAAGTACACACAAAATTAACATATTTATTAGCGCATTTTTAATAGAGTTTGGCCCTGCACATTTTTAAATTTTATGTCTACAAACAGCCTTACCCGTGTTAATATTTATTTATTTTTGGCTAGGAAATAGACTTTATTAAGCTAACGAGAATCTCCGGGAACACCTAGAACCCGTACAGTCAAATACAAATGAATGGCGTGCCTTCACCAGGAAGCATCCTATTCCAAATACAAATATTGTCAACATTGTGATCAATAAATGTAATATCATATGCAAAGAAGTTGACTTCTTTATAAATATGTTGCCATTGAATAGATACAAAAGAGATTGCCACCCATTTAATGTCCTCAAAAATAGTTCTGAACCTCCAATAGATCTTGCATCGGTCGAGAATCCCGTGTTGATATTGGTGTATTACTATCAAATGGGAACAAACAAACAAAAAAACTTTTAAATGAATAAATAAATAAAATAGAAGGAAGGAAAATGGGGACAAAGCTAAAAGTGCATCGTGAGGCATGTGAATGTGATGAGGCAGTTGTGAAAGGTTTATGATGGAGAGAGTGAGAGGTACACTACATGAATTGCCCGAAGAACCGGAGGATGCTCTCAGTTTGTTATAGACATGAGATGCCTCGCCAAACACATCTTTCAGTTTCATGTCCCATTCATGATCCATTCGATCACGTCTCAATATGTTTCTTCAGCACGTGCGGACCCTCTTGTCCGATGCCAGACCAAGCCACATGTATCGTGGTCAGGCGGATAAAAATATAGAAAAACTAATAAAAATGATTTGAAAACTTTGAGTTTTAATCAAAATGACAAAAAGTGTTGTAAGTGAATAGTACCATAAGTGACTTTTTAGAATAAAAATATCATTTTTGTTAAAAGTGAATAATACCGGAAATATTTCGTTAAAACTTCCTAAAAATATAGGTCCCACATTTTACATATGATCATGATTAGAGAGTATGATTATGTTCTTTCTAAATTTTTCTACTTTCAAATTCTTTTTTATTTGAACGGTCATCATGATTATACAATGTCAACAATTTGTTTTGACTTTTTATAGAGAGAGAAAGACGAAGAGGAAAGTGAGAGAGGAAAAGAGGGGAGGAGATTTGGAAGGGAGATAATCCTACTCCATCATGCAAATAGCTAAGTGCCACATTCTGGAGAAAATTTTCATTATGCCTGAAACACAATCCAGTAAATCAAGGATAATAATACAATTGTATAGAATTTTTTTTTTTTTTAAATTTCTAACCAATTGTATTATTACATTTAGTTTTCAGAGCCGTATTCATGGCATAAATTTTCTTTCCACATTTTGATGGCACAAGTTCATGGTTCACCGATGGCAAGCATCATAATTAGTTAAAATTTAAAATAAAACAAATATAATTAAACGTAGGAGGCATTTAAGAGATCAGATCTCTATTTTTTTTTTTTTTTTTTTTTGAGATGAGGATTAGTTACAGGACCTTCACTATATCGAACTTTAACGATCTGAATTGTTTATTTTTCAAGTTAGACTTCATAAATCATCTTTGCAAAATAATAGCCAAATCGGAAATATTTGAGACATCTAATTGAGTTTAAAAAAATTGATAACCACTTTGTTCTATATGAAATAATGAAATTTCATCGTAATAATTAAATAGGCAAATAGTTTTAAATTAAATTGAATTTTTACAAAAATGACTTGTGAATCGAAACTTACAAAATAGATAGTTCAGATCGTTACAACTAGTCCCTATTTTTACCCAAAATTGGAAATCTTTTCTAGTAAGGGGCCTGATTAATCGGGTAAGCATACAAGGCATGAACAATGATATTATTGCATTTTTCTTTGAAGATGCTCTTCAAAGATGCTCCGGAACCAACCACTTGGTAAAAAAAAAAAAAAAAAAAAAAAAAAAAAAAAGCACACACACACACAAAAACACACTCGGAATCGTATTCGACTTGCACTCTCCTCTCGCTTTCCCTTCAACCACGTATTCCAGTTGAAGTGAAGAAGATGCAGCTAGAAGTTCTGGATTACATTTTGGTACCGGCAGGCCTCCTACTGATGGTGACTTACCATCTATGGCTTCTATGCCGAATCGTTAAGCAACCCAACGAGACCGTCATCGGCATCAATTCCATCAATCGCCGCTTCTGGGTCCAAGCCATGATGGAGGTAACTCAAACCCTATAAACCCAAATGTTTATTTTCTTTATCATCGTTTAAAAGATCGTTTTTACAATTTTTTTTATTCATTTGTAGACTGATTAAGAATCTACCGTGTTTTAAAAATTCCCACCTAGCGTGGTTTAGGAGTTAGGCGACTGGTCATCGCTATGATTAATCATTAGGCGTTTACAAAATAAGAAGGGCTGCTAGACCTGTCTAGGTGTCTGCGTAGTCTGTCGAGATCCGTTTTAGGCACCCGTTTAGGTCGCGATTCCCACTTATTTTTCCGTAAATGTAAGTGGACATTTATGTATATAATATATAATAAATTTAACTAAAATATGAAGAAGAAAAATAGGGCCTAGGCCTGCCGAGACACCTAAGCACTTGGCCCTTGCAAGTTGCCTAACTAGTAACACCTTTTAGAATCTTAGTCATCTATATGAATCAAACAAGTTGACGTTGAATTATGAAGATACTAGTTACCATAACCCTTGGTACTGATAAATAAACGAATGGCTAAAGGGTAATGGTAATAAGAGAATAAATGGTTGAATTATGACGTTTTTACAATTAAATGATTTCATGTAGTAATATAAAGACTTTACATGTAAGGATTATCGTTTGCATGTAACATGAATCCTAGAAATCTCTACAAAACCAACATGAATGATAAAGATTGAATCTTTACTGACTGATTTTGAATTTGTACATGCAGGATGCTCCAAAGAATGGTGTTCTTCCGGTGCAGACTCTTCGAAACAACATAATGGCATCGACCCTTTTGGCCTCGACCGCCATTACGCTCTGCTCTCTCATTGCCCTCTTGATGACCAGCGGCACCAAATACAGAACGACTTTATTCGTCTTTGGGGACCGAACCGAACTTGCATTTTCAATCAAGTTCTTCGCCATTTTGGTGTGTTTCTTGGTGGCATTCCTCTTCAACGTACAGTCCATAAGGTACTACAGCCATGCCAGCATGCTCATCAACGCCCCGTTCAAGAGGATGATGTCGCCCCCGCACCACAAGCAGCAGTACCTCACGACAGAGTACGTTGCCACAACCGTGAACCGAGGCAGCTATTTCTGGTCCTTGGGCCTCCGAGCATTCTACTTCTCGTTCCCTCTGTTTCTATGGATTTTCGGGCCGATTCCTATGTTCTTATCGTGCATTGTTTTGGTGATCATGCTGTATTTTCTGGATGTCACCTTTCAGTTCAATTGGATTGTTGCGGTTGCTGGGGATGAAGACCCGATTCTCATTAAGGGTGATGAGGAGCAAGGCTTGTTCAATGCACCGGGGATGACACATTGTGACGGTACCTCAAGCGAAGTGTGTGGGAAACAGTGTGACAGTGTGTGACTGATTTAGGATACCGTCATTCTCAGTGGATGGATTGGCAATTTAATTTGCAGAAAATAGAATGGTTGCAAAAACTAGGGAGCGTTTCAGATTCAATAAAGTTTAATTCAACTGCCGTTAAATAAGTTGATGTATCATAGCATTACATATTTGGAATACTTGGGGTCTGTTTTCATATCCTTATAAAGTTATAAACTATAATGTTCAGTTTGAGGGATTTTGGCATTCTTCGTACAAATCGATAGAGACAGATAAGGAAAGTTTACGCATGTACCACACAAATTGATAAAAAATTCCTTTATGCTTCTGTGTATGGTCAGAGATTCAACGGCTAAGGTTTGCTGTTGCATACTAGAAAAACCCCAAATTTTATTATCCTTAAAATATCGTAGTCACTCTCAAAAAGGCACCAAACGTTTACATGGAAGTTACGAAGAAAACAAACAGAAAGGCTTTATTTTTACTTACCCAACAAGCTAGCTGGGGATGCAACACAGTTTGTTACACAGATGCCTCACAAAAGCGATCTTTCAGATTCATGTCGAATTCATGATCCATTCAATCATGACAACCAAAACTTGGGCCATGTTTCAACGAATCGAGTTCCAAGATACATAGAATCATGCACTTACGAAGATGAGCAACCGAAGCAGTTACATCTCATATTACTGAGGATGTTTATTTACACTACCTGTCGTTGGCTGAAAGTTGAAACCCTAATAAATTAAGTATATTATGCATCTCCCACCGTCACTGTTTCTTGGGTATCTTCAAGATCTCACGGTTTTTATTGGCATGCTCTGTTGAAGTTTGAGCTATCCAAATATCCTCATCAAGCTTTGGATTTCAATACTCAAAAGTGTTTGAGCCCTCTACCTACCAGCTCACTATGAAGTTTGCTTGTCGGATCTGCAGATGGTATTCAACATAACGCTATCTGATATCAGAGAGAGATGGCAGAAATAAGACGAAGCAAACTTAAAAACCGAGTTATAAACAATGCGGAGCATGCTTACCGTGGAATTTTAAGTTGGTTTGAAAGTATTTTTCATAGATTGTATGAATGTACAAGGGAAGGCAGTGTAAGAAGAGAAAAGAGGGGAACCGGTTAAAAGCAACCCTCCCCTGAACAAACTTTAATAACCAGGTAAAACCTAAAGCTATCAATCTTCCTTAAATTAAGGGATTACATCAAACCGCTAAAACACATATCAACAAGTCAACTAGTCCATAATTTGAGGGATCATGCTTAATGATGAAACCCAGGGAAAAGCTGGCGTTGACTTTAGAAGATGAGCAGCTCGTAGACATATCGAATCCAAGAGTTTAGAATGTTCTCACTCACTCGTGTCTTATGTTGTTCTAATTTGTACCACCTTTCTTATATTTGAATGGTCTAACTAGTAACTGCCATTGTGCAGGACATATCGCCGATATCAGTCTTGCCGATATTCTTAACCCTAAGGCCATTTCCAATTGAGAAAGTTAAAGGTCTAAATGTAAAAAAAATAGTCTGATTTGTCCAATTCTAGCCCCACTCCTAACCCCTTTATGGGGTTCAGTTTTTCAGTTGCAATAATTGATTCAAATTCAATAGCTAGATTTTAAAACATCCAACCGTAGTTTAATTAAATTAATCAAAACATTTAAGGTATAAACTTAAAACTAATAATTTATTGAGGAGGCTATATTTGCCCATTTGGTTGGAGATAGTATATGAGGATGGCATGACTGTTCATTTAAAAATAATTTTTTACAAGACTCTAATTCTGAACGAGACTATGTTTAACCTTTCAATTAGAGATGGCCTAAATTTCCTCAAGAGGTAGCGGACAAACTGATCCACTCAGACAGTGATGGTTTTAATGTTACAAGATTAGTTGGAAATACAATACATAATGATCTGAAAAACAAAAGGCTCTTGGAGACTCATCTCCTATTGCCCCCATAATGATATGATAAGAATAAACATCTTTATTAACACTTTAGTTATAATCCAATCATCAACATCCGTGTCATTCAGTTTTCAAAATTTTATCCACCAATTTAGTTTCCCTAACATAACCCTATATTTTATTTCATCGAATAGAAAGGTGGACACCCGATGGCCGATCAAACAAAAACAAATTATATTATGCATACACAACGTTTTTTTTAATCTTTGTTAACCGTGATTTCGTATTTAAATAATAACTACACAAATGTTAAATTAGTATATGAGTCATTTATATACAGTCCAGAAAATATATGAAAAGAAAGAAAGAAATAAGTCATCAAATCGAATTCAAATTGAGGTTCTGTGTGTTTGACATTTTTGTATGGAGATGCCTTCCAAGAAACTCCTAGACAAACCACTTGGTTATAAAGAAAGCACAAAACCACCGTCGTATTCGACTTGCAATCTCTTCTCGCTCTCCCTTCAACCACATAAATAAAGAAAGAAGGGGAGGAGGATTATAACTGAAGTGAAGAAGATGCAGCTAAAAGTTCTGGATTACATTTTGGTACCAGCAGGCCTCCTACTGATGGTGACTTACCATCTATGGCTTCTATGTCGAATCGTTAAGCAACCCAATAAGACCGTCATCGGCATCAACTCCATCAATCGCCACTTCTGGGTCCAGGCCATGATGGAGGTAAGTTGAACCCAACAAACCGAAATGTTTATTCTCTTTATCATCATCGAAAAGACTACTTTTAGAAAGTTTCATTCAATTTGTAGACTGATTAGTCCTCTATGTGAATCAAACAAGTTGAGCTTTTCGAATTCATGAATATACTAGTTACCATAACCCTCGTCACTGATAAATATACATATAAGGATGGCTAAACGGTATGATGATAAAGAGAATAAGTGATTCAGATTATGACGTTTTGACTGTGAAATGATATCATGTATTCATATAGAGAAAAATGACTCTCTACATGTAAGGATTATCCTTTTGCATGTATCATGAATCCTAGAAATCTCTACAAAACCAACAGGAATGATAAAGATTTGAATTTTACTGACCAATTTTGGATCTGTACATGCATGAAATGCAGGACGCTCCAAAGAATGGTGTTCTTCCGGTTCAGACGCTTCGAAACAACATAATGGCATCGACCGTTTTGGCCTCGACAGCGATCACGCTCTGCTCTCTCATTGCCCTCTTGATGACCAGCCGCACCAAGGGCGCATTTTTCGTTTTCGGAAACCGAAGCGAGTTTGAGTTGTCGATCAAGTTCTTCACCATTTTAGTGTGTTTCTTGGTGGCATTCCTCTTCAACGTGCAGTCCATAAGGTACTACAGCCACGGCAGCATGCTCATCAACGCGCCGTTCAAGAAGATGATGTCACCGCCGCACCACAAGCAGCAGTACCTCACGCAAGAGTACGTTGCCACCACCGTGAACCGAGGCAGCTATTTCTGGTCCTTGGGGCTTCGAGCATTCTACTTCTCGTTCCCTCTGTTTCTGTGGCTTTTCGGGCCGATTCCGATGTTCTTGTCGTGCATTGTTTTGGTGATCATGCTGTATTTTCTGGATTTCACCTTTCAGTTTAATTGGGTTGTTGGGGTTGCTGGGGATGATGACCCCATCCTCATTAAGGATGATGAGGAGCAAGGCATGTCCAATGCACCGGGGATTACACATTGTGAAGGTACCCAAAGCGCAGTGTGCGAGAAACCGTGTCACAAGGTGTGATTGATTTGGGATTTGATGGTTCAACAATTTTATATGCCGAGAATATAACAGTATAAAAAACTAGGGAGCAGTTCAGATTCAATACAAGTTGAATCCAACTGCAGTTAAATAAGTTGATGTAACATAGCATTATATATTTGGAAATTTCTATGCAATACACACGTATGATATGACATAGAGATAGTTAAGGAAGTCCATGCAAGTATCATAAAAATCGATTGAAAATTCCATTATGCTTCAGTGTATGACCAGAGATTCAACGGTTAAGGTTTCCCATGGAATAATAGAAAAACCCTGAATCTTATTGACCTTGAAATATCGTAGTCACTCTAAAAAAGGAACCAAACATTTACATGGAAGTTTCTCAGAAAACAGATAGAAAGGTTCTCTCTTTGTTTAAAAAAAGGAAGAGCGAAAACGAAGCTAAAGCTAATATTTGGGCAACTGCTTTCTTGCAAATCGTGGGGCACGTAATAAGAAGCAAATTAAGGCAACAACATTTAAACGTACAGTTTACGTCACTTTTTATGCTAACATTATAAAACATTGCGTCAAAAACATGAGGTGGTAGAAAGTTCATGGAGAGTCCCACTTTTGTGAATGTGTCCTTAGCATTTCTATTTTATTTTTACTTATACCCAACAAGCTAGCTGGAGATGCAACAGTTTGTTACACAGATACCTCACAAAAGAGATCTTTCAGATTCATGTCAAATCAAAGATCCATTTGATCACGACAATCAAAACTTGGGCCATGTTTCAACGAATTGAGTTCCAAGATATATAGAATCATGTACTTACGAAGATGAGCTACTGAGGATGTTTATTTACATTATCTGTCATTCGTTGAAGGTTGAAACCCTTATGAAGTGTATTATGCATCTCCCACCGTCAATGTTTCGGGTATCTTCAAGATGTCAGCATTTTAATTGGCATGCTTGGTTCAAGTTTGAAGAAGAAAAAAAGGGCCTAGGCCTGCCGAGACACCTAAGCACTTGGCCCTTGCAAGTTGCCTGACTAGTAACACCTTTTAGAATCTTAGTCATCTATATGAATCAAACAAGTTGACGTTGAATTATGAAGATACTAGTTACCATAACCCTTGGTACTGATAAATAAACGAATGGCTAAAGGGTAATGGTAATAAGAGAATAAATGGTTGAATTATGACGTTTTTACAATTAAATGATTTCATGTAGTAATATAAAGACTTTACATGTAAGGATTATCGTTTGCATGTAACATGAATCCTAGAAATCTCTACAAAACCAACATGAATGATAAAGATTGAATCTTTACTGACTGATTTTGAATTTGTACATGCAGGATGCTCCAAAGAATGGTGTTCTTCCGGTGCAGACTCTTCGAAACAACATAATGGCATCGACCCTTTTGGCCTCGACCGCCATTACGCTCTGCTCTCTCATTGCCCTCTTGATGACCAGCGGCACCAAATACAGAACGACTTTATTCGTCTTTGGGGACCGAACCGAACTTGCATTTTCAATCAAGTTCTTCGCCATTTTGGT